GATTTGATACAGATCTATAAGTTTTGACATTTTAAAAGCAGAGGTTTTAGCAAGTTAATGTTTCAAAGAGTTCATACCAATAAAAGAAAAGTTAATAGCAATTATTAATGATGTTAGTTAAGGAACGGTATTCAGACCAAGTTAAAGTCCATCCTTTCACAATAACACAAATTATCTATAGAACTGAAGATCCTGTTTTAAACAGTTGAAACATAATCCCAATTTTCTTTTTATATATTTGGCCTTAACCTTTTATTAACATGTACAATTCAATTTAATTCCTATTATTAACAGATTTTTAACCTCTGGTCCTTCTTTGTTTATTGTGTTTGGTGCCACCAAAGGTTAATCCTCCTCTCACAGCTCAAAAAAATAATAAAGGTAAGCATAGAACTTGAAAAATAACCCACATTAAATTTATTTTGGCAAGCAAGAACCTTTTGAAAAATCATCAAAAAACTGATCATATGACGTATGTAGCAATTAGAACTGTGAAAGCAATGGGGCTCCTCAGACGGCTCATGATTTTATAAAAGTCCATCCCCAACGTTCCTAGCAAGGTTTATCAAAAACATTCCTCACATGTAAATGATACCTGTGTCAGCAGTTTTATTTAAAACACATGCACGTATACAACTCTGTACATACATTTTGAATGTTTTATGCGTGCAGATGCAATGCATCACAAGCATGAGTGCATCCTTTCTCTCCTTATGCTCCTTATGCGTGTGCTCTGTGGATTATCTCCTGCTCTTTTGTCACTTTGAGGTGAAACCAATTTGAGAAAATAAACTGTCTGTGATTGGCAACTTTTCAGGAAATCCCACCAATTGAGGCAGTACTGTTTTATTCCTAGCTGCTGCTAGTAACTTTAACAAAGCGTGTTTAGGCTAATCCTTGATAAATTTTACAGTTGAACTTCCAGCGCTTTGGGACTTCCAACTTCTGAGGTCACCAGAGTCTCCAAACCTCTCCAAATGTGCCAAATTATTCCAAATTGTTCTTATTGCTTTTACACTAAAATTTTATGCCAGAAATCACACAGGAGCATTTTTATGGCCACAGAACATTTTTGAAGTAAATTTTTAATTTTTTTTCTTTCGATCTACTTATCTAACAGTTTGCAATAATCATTCACTAATGCGTCTGTGTGCCGTTTACTCCCGGCAATATATCTGGGATGCACAATTCAAGTTAGCCATGCTTACACTTGTTTTAAAGGTAATTTCATTGGCTCTAGAGACAAACATTGTGTGTGGACTTAATCAACAGCAGCCGGACTTTATGAGGAATAATATGTGGGGAGTCATGCATAAAGATGGCGGCTGAGAGGGAGCGCTTGTGGCGCTTTGAGGGCTATCCCGACATCATATCTCAACATAAATCGACCCAGACACTTTTGTTTTGTAGGTTGGAAGGTGAGGAAAGGAAACATACCAACCTTAAATCCTTGTGGAAGCTAGAGTAATTAGCAATATGTTTAGCATTAGCTATAAGGATCGAACTTTTCTGGCGATTTTCTCATTATGGAAGGTTTTTATTACAAATATGCTGGATTACCTTTTATCCGTAGACCCTTATGGACAAATGGAATGTAAACAATCTAAGATTGGATTTGTAATACTGCCTCAGAATCGCTTTACAATTAGGAAGTCAAAGCTTTATTTAAAAAAATTCTGATTTAACATGCTATTATATCTTTATTAATTGAGTTCTGTCCTTCATGGTGTCCATAAAATGAACGTTGCAGTTCAATTGTGGAGAGTTTAAGATTTTAAAAAGATGTATAATATCTCTATATAGGTAGGTCGCTGGAGAACAGGTGGATGTTAAGGAATTGGGATCTTTGTGTCTCGGATGACTAAAGTCTTGTTCGAGCCTAAAGGTCTTTGTGTTGTCAATTATTATTTACACAAAAAGAATTGTTTGACGTCAAAGTCAGAGTGACATACTTGAGACATCCAGGAGGGGGGCGCTGCATTTAAAGACACTTCTATCTTTGAAGATTTGTTTGTCTGTTTAAAATGTTCTTGATGTGATGCAACATACCTTAACTCTATACATCTATATTAAGTAGTATGATGATTTGTTTCATTATCAATGTTGGATATGCTTTATAGTACATAATTGAAATGCTTCGCCACCATCTGGCTTTGTTTTACTTTGTACCTCCTTTCTCCAGCCTGCATTTCTTTGAAGCAGAAAAGCCATTATTAAATGTCATTTTGTTGCCTCCGTGAGGGTCAGAGTGGCGCAGGACTCATAAGAGCGGCCTGAACTCGAAGTCCTGATGTGCACCCCACCACAAAGCGGTTAGGAGGAAGGCAGAATTAAACTAGCTCTGGTTCCAGCCTCGCTGACATTTACCACTGACATTTTTAATATCTGAGACTTCTGCAACAGTTGAGCTGAAATAGCAAAGTACAATCTGCAAAATCATTTAACAAGTTCACTTTTTTGTTCTTAACACAAAAAAAACTATATTGTGTTTTTTTAAGGTCCTGCCATTTGTTCTTATGTCATGTTTCAGCAACACCAACATGCATGTGGCCTGCATTTGTCCATTGATATGCAGGTTGCTGTGATGTTCATGTTTGGCCAGGTGCCTTGCTGTTAGACTGAGCTGCATATCAAACAGGCCGTGCTTTAGGGGCCGAGTTTGTCTCTAGACACAGACACTGTCAGTTGGCAGAGGAGTGGAGGGTGGGGCGGCGAAAGGGGAGTAAGAGAGTAATTTCCTGACTCAGAACCTCTCCCTGGGTAGATTTCCTCCTCTCCCTTTTCTCTTTCCCCCTCCGCTCCCTCATCCTCCGTATTCTCATTCAACGCACACCCTCCCAATCGCATTGACCTCGACTTGTGAGGCAAACAAGCAAAGTCTGCATCTGCTGCACAAAGAGACCAGGCCCGAGCTTTTAAACGGCGCTTCACCTCGTTAGTTGACAGCTTTGTGACGATAAAATGAAAGATAAGCCATTCCAAACAGCATCAAGCTGGTGTTTGGTGCAGGAGAAGCGAGGGATTCACTGCCGAGGCTTTGACCCATGAAGCCTGTTTAGAGGTTTGGGATGGGGGCAACAGGAGGGCATTACAAAGAGCGAGCTGTGCATTGATTTACTGCGAAAACAGTGGAGGGAAAGTGTGCACAAGGATACATAGACTCAAATATGCAAATGTACACAAGGATAGGAATACAGATGGATGCAAACAGTAACTGTGCAAGCTGTTAACGGAGCAGACAGACACGAAGCAGAGTAAAATTGTTTCAGATGGTTTGGAGCTTAAGTTTGAGTCATTTAATGTTTGCATTTTAAAACAAACACGTTGCTCCTATTTTTAAAGGTTCTATTGATTATATAAAGATAAAAATATATTGAATGTAGGGCTGCAACTAATGATTATTTTGCTTATCAATTTATCTGTTGATTATTTTTTCTATTAATCAATTAATAATCGCATACCAAAAGGTTCTTTTAAGGTTTTTTATGAAATTATACCAGTTGAAACTTAAACTTTTCCACTTGTGGCGTTCTGGATAAAGCACATTGAACCAATGCTTGTTATCCTGTTTTTGCGTCAGATTTACGGCTGTACAAGAACAGCAAATTCAATATTTGTAAATATTTAAAAAAAAATGCAAAAATGCTAATAATTTCTTAATTTTTTTAAGATGTAAAGAAAACTATATTTAATTAATATTAACGAGTTAAAGTCCCAGCACTAGTAAATAGACTACTAAAGGTCATAGTAACTGAGTAGTATCTAAAATATTATTAGAAACAGCAAAATGTATGTTCAAATTCTGGTATTTGAAAGATTATAATAAAATAATTAAAACACACAAATAACAAATAAAAACAATAATAATTCAGGCAGAAGAAAATACTTTCAAAACTAGTATTTTGACATATGACCTAAGAATCCAGTCCTCACAGTAGTTAACAAAGACGCGTTAAAAGAGAATAAATGACCTCAAGTGGCAATATCTACTCTCTTACTGTATATAAAGTAATAAGAAAAACTTCAGTACATTCATGCACTTATAATAGCGCTTTGAGTGTAAGCAAACCGGTGAGAGAGGGTGGCCAAAAGTTCCTTTGCTCTACATGCAATAGTAAAACAATCCGAAAGTGTTTGATTAAACATGGTTTGCTACTAGATGGCATAATCAACAAACAACTCAACATCTGTTATTTGGGTTGTGTTGTATGTTCTAGTGGGTTAGAACTGTAACACTAAATTTCGCCTTATTAGTTTCATTTGTTCTAATCTTTTGCTGAATGAAAAAAGATAGCTTCAATGTAAACTGCCCAATTACAGTCATAGTCTATTTTTGTTCTCTAAATAGAGTATATTTTAGTTTGCTTTACCTTTCACACTGGCTGGCCCACTTAAAGGAATTACCTTTTTTGTCTCAAACGTTTCAGAGTGAAACACTGAAGACACTGATGTTTTTTCGAGGTGCTTTGGTCAGCTTTAAACCCACCGCCACCGTTATTAAGGTTTCTATTACATTGCTGGTGAGGCTGCCAGCAGAGCTGCTAAAGAGCTGTTTCATGTGGGTCAGGGAGGTTATCTGATGGAAAGTGTCTGCAGGTTGGAGCAGTATGTTTCCAGCCAGGATGCTCTCGGGGTGTTTTTGTCTCATTACGAGGGACTGTCGATTGCCGGACTGATAGCCCTGTCTGTTGTAATTGACCCGTCGCTTCAAATTGTTGCCATCTGTCTTCATACCGATGTAATGACCTTGTAATATATCGACAGTTTATTGGATTAACTTCAGCATGCTGTGACACAGGAATATGGCCTTCGAGGATAAGGTGGAGTGAATAGAGTGGGGTCATTCCCTGATACGAAATTGGACTCAATAACAATTTTGGAGATTAAAGGTTTTCTAACTACTGCTGTTTTTGCGTTTTATTCTCAGTTTTGTTGATTAATGCTGGTGGATGGTAAAAATCTTGATAAACTTTATTGAATCCTCTGTATTTGTTTTCCAGAGTCGAGATGGACGGTTTGAAGTCCGTGGTCGTCATGGGAAATCTGTGCTGACAATCAGCGGCGTAAAGCTCAGTGATCTTGGACGATTTGACTGCGAGGCACAAAGCAGGATAGGAGGCCATCAGAAGAGCATGTTTCTCGACATTGAGTGTAAGTGTGTTTACTTTTAATCATGAACTTGACTTGTAAAGGTACGTTCACACCCAATATGAATTCTTCAGCTGGAGCAAAAGATATCCATGTTATGTTATGTAGAGGGCAGCTGTGGAGCGCAGCAAAGTGAAGCAGGGTGAAGGTGGCAGACTTAGTTGGCCGATTGGCAAGATTTTAGCAAATTCTGCAAAATTAGATTGCCGTGCATGAGAAGGGCACAAATCAAAATTTGCGAAAGCTGAAAAATCACAACTTTGGCTTATATTCATGTGGCATAATCCGATTAGACCTATATGTGGCTTTGACCTACAGTAAAGGAGGTAGCAGAGAAAAGCTTGAAAGAAAATAATGTTGAGTAAGTGGGGATTGATTTCTCTTAAGACGCTTGTTGGTGGCTTTGAATAAAGATGTTTTAATTTAGCCCTAGAAGAACTGTTCTACCGTCCTACTGCCTGTCTCTCCTTCACTCGCCTACCACCTTCCTCCTTCAAATCTCCGTAGTTAGCCTCTTTACGCTCTGGTGCTGTTTCTCTGCTGGGCTTCTCCAAACTACGGCTGTGCTCCTCCTGAGCTATGAACAGCTAGCCATCGCCTCTTCTTTGCTGTCTCAGAGATTGACATGGCTGGCCCCCTCATCATAATTGTGGTGCTCTCTCTGCCACTGTTCTTGCACTCCAGAATGCCGCCTTACCTTGACTCTGTCCTCTGGGTGATTTGTCCCCCCAACGTGGTATAGCAAGTCCTTGAACTTGGTGACAATTAGGTGGAAGTACCGCTTAGAGCGACTACTGTATCATCTATATATACCTTTCGGCTGTGGCGGTGGTATTTTACTTTTGTACTGCTTCTATCTCAGGGAATGTGGTGAACCCAAAAACGGCGACAGAAAACCACAAAAAAAGCAATGTAAGAGACTCCATAAATTCATGGAGGCAAAACCAACAACCACGAGACTGGATGATGTAGGAACTTTTTGTCCAGTGTGTGAATTGCTTTCGATGGCCATGCAAATTTTTAGGGTAAGCAAAAGCGAAATTGTCGCAGGTTTTGCTTTTGTTGTGAACATACCTGATTCCTGTCACAGATAGCCGTGCTGCAATGTTAAGGCTAGCCTTTACCTAAGCAGGAAAAGGAAGTGGCAATTTGTTGAAGTCGCTGTACTTTTTTGTAACTGTTCTTTCTTCCTTTTGATCAAATATTTTTATATGACATCAATCAGGTAGTTTTTTTGTTGTATATGTCCACTAACAAAAGAGTGTTTTTAACCTTTTGTGAGTATGCCTGTATATTTCCATATTTGGTTTAAATCCTCTTTTGTTTATTTTTCTGGTCACCTTTTCGAATTTCTGCTGCATCTTAAAGACTACTCTTTTTGTCTAATGTTAAACAGTTTCATTGTGTTTGTATGTAGAGAATCCTTAATTATGAACAGAATTTAAGAGGTTAGGTGTCTTAGGATAATTAATACCATCAAGGATAGTTTTTTCTTTCTTTTCTTTCTTTTTTCATGTACGTTAAATATATAACTTCTCATTCTTAGTATTGTTTCTTCTTTACTGTCAAATCTGAGGTATTAAATGTCAACTCCTTTTATTCTAGTGTTGTTAAACCAATTCAGTATTTCTGTGATCTTCATCTAATGAGGTGTTTTATGTGCCTGTTGTTTGATGGTTCTTTATGTATATTTTCTGTATCCATGGCAATGTTGTCTCTTTATGGTTATTTAGTGTCATGAAGTCTTATTATATTGGCTCTTTAATGGTCAGTTTTTATCCCTGGCCACTTTATTATTAGAGGATGTTTTTCTTTGCTAGCAGTATTAATGAAACAAGCCTTGCAGGTGTTATGGATCTCATTTCGATGTATTTTATTGCTGAGCTGAGCTTTTGTATTTTTTTGTTAATTTGTGTTATATTGCTCGTATTCAAATATATCTTTGCCTTAAACAGTCTGTGTCCAGGAGCTTTGTAAATGTTTATCCCATTATGCTTGAATTAATAGCACATTCTGTCATCTCCCAGCTATTTTATTTCGGTTTTATGTGATGGCTTAACACATTAGTGTCTAATTTTCAGTGAAAATGTAGAAAATAAATGTTTTTTTTAATGTTTTTAGGGTTTTATTTTTCTGGCAAAATTAGAAAATCGTTGCACGATTTGGTTCTCAGCACTTCAGAAAAACCATTATCTATATCTTACTGAAAATACGTCAGATTAGGTGAATCTGAACAGATACTTTCAAGCGTTTTCATAGATTATAATCTGCGTTTACTTTTGGGTTTTCACTAGGCCATTCTAAGGTATTGAAAGGACCATTTCATACCTCTGCCTGTATAATGGGGTTTGATTAACATTTGATATGATCGTTGTGCTGATTTCCATTGCCGTTTTCCTTGATCTTTCTGTATCACGAGGTAATTCTTTGTGCTGGGTTAATTTAGGGATATCAAAGTTACTATAAAAGCAATCCATACTGTTCTTTTTTTATTTGTCAGTGTTTTTCCAAACCTTGTATCATATCATCTCCACGATATCCTGCTTCCAACAACAAAAACATTGACCTTTTTACTTCTTAATCTGACAGAATGTGGAGAATTCACTCATGTTAATGTTGCAAATACTTATACAGTAGGCGCCACCGGGCGGATCTTGCCAGATTATCCAGAGTTCAGACATTCTGAATAAACCAGGCAGTTTGTCTCATTAAAGTACAACAAATTGTCACAAACAACACATCCCCAGCACTCACTTAGACACATGCATTTTCTCTGAAGGCTTCTAATTAATGAACAGATATCATACATTTGCAGTTTCTCCTTGTTGCAGGTTCCTTACTCCCTGACAAGTGCACCCTTCCCTCTGTGGCTCTTGTTGGGGGTTATCTGGGGCAGCCTCTCCCCTGCCTAATGAGCTCTGAAGCAAAGATCTTCATCTTGGCTCTGGAATGATTGTGTTCATTATGAGAGAGAGGCTCTGATGCTTTAACTATACCAGAAAAGCAGAGTGCAGAGTTTTACTGAAGCGACTGAAGGACGCAAAACAGCAAGAAGAAGAATCTAAAAACTTTTTTTCATAGTTTTGGCAAACAAAGCAAGTTTGAATGGGAGAGCTGCTACCGTTCTACTGTCAACGTGCCTGCTCTGGGTCTCTGTGTCCCGGCTTGGCCGAGACTCCGAAAGCAACGCTGCGGCCGTTGAACTAATGAACTCATTTACTAAGTCACTGCGGGCTGCTGGGGGATAGCAGGTCCTCAGCTGTGACAGGGAGCCAGGCATCAATCTATTTAATGGAATCCTGCAAGGGAACGTAAAGCAGACATAATGCCTTTCTGAGTGAGCTGGGCCGACTGCGCCAGGAAACGTCCAAAAAACAACCTGCAGCCGCTGCAGTCTTTCACTGTCGGGTTGTATCCTTCATTCAGCTGCATGAGACAACCTCAGACTAGAAACATAAATTCAGCACCTTTTATTCTCCATCTGCAGAATGTGTGGGTTAGGAATGAGCACATCTTTGATCATCCACCTCAGCTCCACCTTTGATTTGAGGGTTTAATTAGCTGCCACCACTGTTCAAAACACCAGCGGTCGTATTGGAGCTCTCCATTACCTGTTAAACTAAGTCTAAGATTTTTTTTTTTTTTTGGCATCTTCTCCACAGATATCCCCAAATTTCTGACCAACCACACTATTTATTACTCATGGGAAGGGAACCCAGTGAACATAAGCTGCGAAGTGATGTCCAACCCACCCGCCACCTTGCTTTGGAGGAGGGAGCGTTTCACCATATCAGAGGAAACGCCTCACATGCATATCTATGGCACAGAGGGCAGGAAGTCTGTGCTGGAGGTAGGTCCAGAGTCTTTGATGTGATGTTTAACTGTTTCCATCTGATGGTGAATTTTAAAAAGAAGTAAAAGTAAAGAGCTGTGTTCTTTTAATTCCATTAGTTAAGGTGAAAAGAAGTTAAATATATCTCAACTTATGGGGGAATTACCAGAATATTTTGAAGAGGTAAGCTCAGTGTTTACCTCATGCTTCTTTACTCTTAGATCTGTAAAATCCCTTTAATAGAACCTCTCTGACAGCATGAAGTAGGATAAAATAAGCTGATAAATCATGGAACAAGGAACATTTCTAGGAGAGACCTACCTACTAAAATGTATCCATGAGTGGGTTGATGATTTATCCAGGAGGTCACAAAGAACCTAGAACAACATCTAGAACTGTACAGGCTTGACCTACCTCGGCTAAGGTCAAAGTTCACGATTCAACTTTAAGAAAGAGAGGCTGGGGTAGAAAATGGAATTACCGGAAGAATTTTTAAGCCAGAACCACTGTTGATCAGAAAGAAGACAAATATCTGTCCTGAAACCCTAAACAGGGCGTTCACACTTTAAAATCCTCCTATTCGACTGGATTAATATTTCTGTAGAGCAGAGTGGGTCAGAATTCCTCCGCAGTGATGGTTTAGTGAGTATATTCTAAACAGCATGGACTTTGTATGCCTTTTCTGTGGACATTTAGGATCGAAACGACTAATATTGTAATTTTATAGATCTCTACACCTAGGTGTCAGATATAGAGCAATAGGATTTTAGTTTTTTTTGTTTTGGCTAAGCAGAATTTTCAGTCTGAGTCCTTTTTTTTAAATATGATATGATGTGGATGTATGTGCTCAATGAAGTTGAGTCTCGCATGAACCCAACTCTGTTGGGAGCTTTCAGTTATCAATGGTGGTTCGGATAGTTTTTTACCTTTCATAATAAGAGCATGATTTTAAAACAGCATTCTGTATTTACTCTTTTTATCTTTCACATATTCTTTTCAAAAATATTTAATGTGACCAAAAAAGCTAAATGACAAGAAACAGGTCAGGGTGTGATGCATTTCTGCTTTTTCTTCGTTTTTATCTTTTTTTTTTTTTTTTTTTGGCTTTTAGTGTGCCTCTAGGCAGAGGAAGATTCTGGTTGGAAATGGCTCCTTCTCCTCACAGTATTATTCATCTATAGGGAAGACAGCTTTATTATTAGATCTGTTATTTACTGAATAAATCCTCCCAGCACAAATGGTTCACGGTGATGTGTTTTACACAGTGGCTCTAAAAGGTCTTTAACTCAAGTTCAAAGTTGTTTAATTTTCTTTTTTTTTTCAGCTCTAATGGCCTCCACAATGCATGACATGGTGTTATAAAGACGGAAAGTATATATCTTTCTATCTAGTCCCTTGATTTGCTGCAATCCTACAGCTAATTTTTTATATCCAAAAAAACACCCTAGAGGAAGTTATTTTATTGCCTACAGGTTTATTTGTTTTGGGGGTTTTTTGTAAAATCATAACCCTAAATACTATCTGGCACAGTTTCTGCAGCAATTCCCTCCTCCATCCCAGTTTTTTCTCTTCCAGTGAGTGTTTACACCACGTTCTAGCCTGTTTTTCTTCTTAGAGTTGTTTAAATTGAGTCATAGTGAAGGGTTCCTGAGATTAATCAGCTCTCTGGTAGCTCTTACATTTTGATTTTAGGTCTAGACTTTAACTAGGCCCCTTGAAAGAGATTTTTTGTCATTAGTACCTGGAATTGCTGCATAACCCATTGCTTGAACACCAGATTCTCTCTATGCATTGTAGTCCTGGTACTGACTGCTGCCAATTATTATAAACAAGGTTTTCTAACCAAATAAAAACATGCTTGAAATTTCCACCAAATGATTTTATGTGCGACGTTGCTCATTTTCATGTGAAACTGGTACAGAAACGTAGTTCTGTTACAGCGTAGTTACACTGCAAAAAAAATATGAAATTAAGTAAAAATTTCTTAAATCAAGTGTATTTACCCTTAATTTAAGCAGGTAAATAAGATAGTTTGCCAATGGGATGAGTATTTTTACACTTAAAATAAGTTAATTAGATAATGTGCACTTGAAATAAGGCAATGCAATTGATTTTTCCTATTTCAAATGTAAATTGTCTTGTTCCATTGGCAAAGTGTCTCATTTATCTCCTCAAATCAGGATAAGATGCACTTATTTCAAGAAAAAATTACTTATTTAGATTTACATTTTTTGCAGTGTAATGTTTTATGATCAGATTTGATTTAACTGATGCAGTTTATTTTCATTGATAATATTTCCTATAACCTCTACACTGATTCAGGTGACTCCAATGTCTGACAGAGACTTTGGCCGGTACAACTGCACCGCCCGAAACAACATTGGAGTTCGGTACCAGGAGTTCATTCTGGCGCAGGCAGGTGAGTGTGCTGCGTGATGCAAGAGTGGAAAAGGCTGGAATTAGATTCCTGTATTTTCCATTTTAGAAAATAAGAGCATGAAAATTTGAATTCCGTAATCCAAATTTTCTCTTTCAGTTTTCCTGTCCCTCCATGTTTCTTTTTCCCCATGCTGTTTTTCTTTTTGTCCTTCCTTCTTTCCTTGTGTCCTGTCCGCCTTTATCCAGCCTCTCCTTCCTTTTGTTCTTCTTCAGTTCCTCCTTTTGACTTTTTTCTTCTGCATTTTTTTCTGCCCAAAGTTGGATAGAAAAACTTTCTTTAATTTCTTCTCTGTTTTATGAGTTTCTTCATCCCTCCTGTCCAAAGCAATCCCCCTATTTCTCCTTTTACTCATATTTCTTTTCTCCTTTCTTTCTTATTGTGCTATATTTACTTCCTTCCTCTATAATACTCATTATTCCTCCCTGTTTCCTTGTGTCACCTTCTTTACATTTTCCTTCCTTCCTTCCTTCCTTCCTTCCTTCCGCCACTGTGTTTATTGAACTGTTCCCTCATTTCCCACTGAACAAATTCTCAAAAGTGAATTCCAATTATCTTTAGTGCAGATTGAATTGCTTGAGCTGAGAATGAAAGTTTTAACAAAAAGTTAAGCTAATACATAAAAACAACCTGTTTGTAGAGCCATTTCTCCATGAGATAAAAACCTACCAGCAGAGAGAGAGACAGTGATGCTGCAGAGTGGAGTATGGGGAGGACCGCAGAGAAAGCTTTCGCTACAAGGGCAATGCTTTTATGATTTACCAACCTATTAGAAATACTCTGAAACGAACCTTGGAGCTCTCTGTGTATATAGCTCTACATCACAAACCATGGCTTAGCAGGAAGAGCGTAACACATGTAGAAAGGCTCTGCTTACATGAACTTGGTGTAAACAGAACTGAGACACTTTTATCTCTTTTGCTGCAACAACTCTGTTACCGAGCGGAGGAGAACAACTGATGGTTTGGGAAGTAAAAACTAATTTTTATATTTAAAGGACTGAATAATAGAACATCTGGTTTTACAGTTAGTTGAATATTCTGAACATTTTTAAGTCACCTATGTAAAGAAGTGTTGCCAAAAGCAGATATTTTTCACAGCAGATAAATCTAAAACCTTACTTCTTTTTCTCCTGGTGTCTTTGCCTTCTTCCTTGAGTCTTTATCCCCTCCTCGTCTTTCTTTTTGTCCTTCCTTTTATCCTGTTTTCCTTCTCTTGTTAAGTGCACCTCTTTGCCCTCATTTCTTCTTCATTTTGTGTCTTTACACTCTATCCTTTGTACCCTGTTATTTCTTCCCTCCTTTCCCGTGCCCGTCTCCTTTCCTATGTGTTGTCCTGCCTCTCTCTTATTTTCCTGACTCCATTTCTTATTTATCTTTTATTTCTTCCTTGTTTCCTTCCTGTGATCTCACTTGTTAACTTCCCTTCTTTGCCTTTCTTTTTTCTGACCTTCCTTTCTTCTCTTTTGTCCTTTGTTCTTGTGTTCTACATCTTTATCCATCATTTTCGTTTGTCATTCCTTATGTCCTTCTGTTCCATCCTCCTTCCTTATCCTCTCTCCCCTTGCACCCTACAGTATTTCTCCTTTACTGCATTTCTGGTAACCTTCCCTCCTTCTCTGCTGTCCTCAATCCTTTCTGACTTCTCTTGTTAGTTTCTTCTTTACCTTCCTGCATTGTGCATTTCCTTCCTTGTGGCCCATCCTCTCGTATCCTTCCCTCCTTCTTTGTCTCCTTTCACCCCACCTTCCTCCCTTCCTGTTTCTGTTTTTTATTTTTATTTTTGTTTAACTTCCAGTTTATTATTTATTGATGTCCAATGATTGTAAAAGACTGAGAAGTGTAGTCCGGAGATTTTTTCATGTGTTTTGATGTCAAAGCTAAAACAATGTCCACCAGGCTCTACCAGCTGGTATTGATGGAAGATATATGAGGACTTCATTATCTCTGGTTTTAGATGTTCCCTCGAATCCATACTCCGTCCGCCTGTCGGCTGTGTCCCAACGCTTGGCGACCGTCACCTTCATGAAGCCGGACTCTCACGGTGGCGTTCCCATCAGCTACTACCTGGTCCAGTACAGAGAGCTGGGCTCCATGGACTGGAGGGATGTGAAGTCGCACAGTGTGCAGAGTGAGTGATTTTATTTTTAACCTTTAAAGGAGCAGTAACATCATTCTGTTCATTGTGTAAATAACCAAATGGTTCATATTTCCTTGCATTACAGTAGCTGCAGCACATTAAAGCAAGAAAGCACTGATTTTTTAGAGAAGAACTTTTTTTGTGTGTTTTTTTAGCTCATTTTAAAGATTTAGTTATTATGGTACTAATCATTTCCAGGTGAATTAGGAGAAACTCATTCAGCTCTATGTTGAGATTTTTCAGATTACAGTTTTTACTCTCACAGCTGCTTTTATTCTACATATTCATTTCACTCATTCTCTCTTTCCATCATGGGATAAAGTTGCCACAAAACCATTTATCATTATTGTGATAAAGTAAGTATAGTGGAGGATGTTCTTTTTCCGGGTGGCTCATCTAAATAAGTGGTCCTCCTAATTTTCAGTCATTATGGTGATAAGTTTATGTAAGGCCATTCTATGTGCTCATCCCCATTCTCACAGTCTGACATAGTGGAAAAATTGCAAAACTTCTTTTGGAAAGTAAGCTTGCATGAGCGATGCAAACAAAGCGTAAACAAAGCGTGAAAAAAGAGAAATGGGCTTGTTCATGCTCTCGCACGCGTAATGGGAGTTCCCTTTCTGGAGCGGGTACAGGGTTGTGCATGTGCATTTTTTTTTTCTTAAGTGGAGAGGGTGGGTCTTTTCTAAAGTTTGCGAAAATCCTCAACTATACTGTGAAATTGGAATTTTTTATCTTTATTACATATATTTATTTATTTTAAATGATATTTATATTATTTTATTTTAATGTAATATGTTATATTTAATATTATTGTTGAAGTGATGGCACTGTTTTTCATGATTTTTAGGGTTTTTAATTTCTATTTGATGTGTTTTCTAAGAAAGAAGGGAAAAAAACATAATTTCTGTTCAATAACAAAAGCCTTATTTCAAATCCACTGAACTACTTCTTCTTTTCAATTTCTTTTCATACATTATACATTCTTATGCTGCTTAAACATGAAGATATCCCTCTTTTAAGGATTTCTGCCGGACACCAGCTGGACTTTATATAAAATGTCCAAAGAAAACGCAGCTCCAACTTGAACAAATGTCCTCAGTAGGTAACAAGTAACTGAATGACGTCCACTTATTTAACTTGGGAACTTCTAAACTAGATACATTCAGTTAGATTAACTTGGTTAAATTACTTGGTACCAGTTGAAGCAATTTGTTTAAGTTGGAGCTGCATTCTCTTGTAGAATTTAGAAATCTGTTTTTAACATTTTTATTAAAAATGTATATAATAACGCTGTGGTTTAAACCAAACTAAAGGACTAAAAGGCTTTTCTTTTTTTTCTTTTTTTTTTTTTTACATATTGGCCATTTTTGAGTTGCATGTTCTTTTTTCCACATGTTAAACGGTTTCTGAGCCAAAAGTCCTGCTGTGTTGAGTTATATGTATTTGCACCCCAGGGGAAAACAGAAGGTAAATTAGGTTCTAAAAAAGCTCATTAAGACTTTAATTTATAAGCTTTTAATTGTAGAAATGCAAAAATTCTTCAATTAAATTACATTTTTTGTTAGAGAATCTCTTTGAAAGATGAGGTTTGTGAACAGAATCGATAGAAAAAGCCATTAATGTCATTAAAAGTTTACTTGTATGAAATTTGACCTGTGATTGGCCGGCTGAGATTGTATCATTCACCTATTTGTTGAAGGAATCTGTGAACCTTTACCAGTTTAACCCCTAATCTCCTCTGTTGACGCCACACATCAGCCAAGTGGAGACATAATTGCACAATCGGTCACAGGATCCTTCAAAGCCTTAGCCTTGGGTTGTTGTCGGGCCCCTGACGAAGCGCAAACACCTCACAGCAGAAAGCGCCAGGACCGGTCCGGTGCTGAAAAGGCTCCCTCCGTTTGCTCTTCCTATGCTTTACGACCCCAAATTGATTTCTGAGCCCTGTCGGGAAGTATGGCACGAGGGGAAAGATAGATGGATGAAAAAATGAAAGCCAGGGGATGAATGGTCCGGTGATAAGCAGGTCCAACAAACCTGAAGGACTTATCGCTAATATCCCCCATTTCGGAGTCAATTACGGTACGCAGATAGACTGAGGTGAATATTAACCAGGAATACTAACCAAGGGATGAGAATAATTTGGTTAAATATCATTGTTTCAACAAAATTTGATCTAAAATACAAAAGAACTGAGTCTAGTTAATTACATGATCCTAAGTGGCTTCATATTTATTCACAGACACCACTTCAGACATCCGCGCTGAAGTTCCACACACAGTAAACTGTGCAGCATAATGAGCTGCCTGGACTCGTCTCATTTCAGTACTCTTGCCCAGATTGAAGCGCCTGCTCACAGCCTGGGATGAAACCAACACACTACTGCAAATTGCAAAAAAAAATAAAAAATGTTTTCAACTCCAGGACCAAAGGACTGCAAAAGCACCTATTACCAGTCAAGTATTTAATTTGTTCAGACTGGCAAAAACAACAAGTTTCACTCAAGCTCATTACGCTGCTGGCTCTCTGCTGGCTTGTAGGAACAGCTGAGGTTATAGAGAGAGGATTTGAAATTTAAATAGGATTGTTATTCGATAAGAAAACTTCCCTTTGTTTAGAGCATTTTAAATGAGCATCTATTGTGGTAAAACTGTCCATGTGGGCTGGTGTGTCCAAACCTTTTCACCATGATGCCTAAAATTATCTTTACTATTATATTTTCTTTAAGATTAAGGAAGTACTCCCTTTTTTGATTGAAGTTGTACATTTTTACTTCTTGGCTAAAAATCATTAAGTATTTTGATTTAATTTTCTTGAGGATTTGTTTCCTACCTTATTTTTGTTTTTTTTGTACATTTTGTTTCATCTATATTAAATTCTTTTCCGCTCGTGCCTTCTAAGTTTAGCATCATTGTTTATTACTCCTCCCCCTTCAGCTCCCTGTCTTCATTATCCTCTGCTGTTCCTCTCTACCACCCTTTTATCTTAAATGTCTTTCTTCACCTGTTTTTCCATCTTTATCCATAATTTTCCGTCTGTTTGTGACTCCTTCCCTCTTTGCACCCTATGTCCTTTGCTGCCTTTCTTGTATCATTACCTCCTTTTCTTCTGCCCAACCGTCCTTGTTCACGCTTTTTCCCTGTGCTTAATTTTCTCCTTTTCCTTTTGCCAAACCACCTGTAGCCTATGTTTAATTTATTGTTAGAAAATGTTGCTGGGAATAATTATTCGCTTTAACCTCCATTGCTGGCAGCAGATGTTGACACAGACATCCTTCCACAGCAGGAATATCATTTAAAACACAGAAATTGGACAAAAACAGATTTATATTCCCATTGTTCCACAGGGTTATGGTTTAAACGCCCAAGCAGTATAAAAAACATGCTGAATTTAAATAAAAGGAAGCTGTTCTACCAGTTATAAAAATGTCAAGTCCTTGAAATGGCATGCAAAGCACTTTAAATTCAGATGTTTATTCATTGATAGGATAACTACTGTCCCACATCTTGCAGCTGCAGCATTTGCTCCTCTCAGGCTGAAGACAGCTGGATGGTCAATCATTGTTATAGTTGTTATAACAGATACTTAGATAGAGAATAAATACTGTAAATTGAAAGAAAAAAAATCACGGCTTATAATGTCTTTAAGGTGAGAGAGTTGCTCTCTTTGTTGCCATGGAGATATTTGTGCCTCCTTTTAATTGCTGAAGACGTTTCCACTAAGACTCAAGGTTATTAACTGTAAATTAACAATCAAATTTTCCTCATATTAGAGTTTCCTGTAGTGGTCTGTGTTAAATTGGGAGACCTCTGATTGAGAAAACTTCCTTTTTGTGATGAAGCGGATCAGCATTGCCCAGATGGCCTTCTTTTGCCGCCTATTGAGCGCTTTTCCACCTTACTAGATGACGGCAGAAGAGAAACACAAGGAAGAATAAGTATAATCAAATATGTTATTAAACTGCATTACTGTAACGGAAGTCAAAAATTAGTAGATCAGATCCCTGCCCCAGTTTCAGCAGCCATAGTGTAGAAGATGGACAGAGAAATCAAGAAGAAAAGGATGAAGAAGCACAAGAACTCAGTGTGGCACCAGCAGGTCAGCATGCAGCATTAAAAAGAAGGGAATTTTGATAAGCAAACAGTAAAAATAGTAAGAATATTTAGCCAGAAATTGAGTGATTCTGACATGTAAAGTAAATATTCTGTTAGTTGGATAAGTGTTTTCAACTTAAAATTAGAAAAAGTCTGTTTTATTTCGAGTAAATTGAGTTTTGTTGGCTAATTAAAAGTTTATTTTACCCATAATTTGAGGTAAAATCAATAACCCTGCTGAGACAAAATTAATCAAATGTACGATAAATAGTCTCAATTCCAGCAACATGTAGTTATCAAGATTTATTTATTTATCATTGTGAATAAGCAGAGGCAGTAAATTGTTTCCCAACATGAGTGATAGATACTTGCGCCTTCTTTAGTTTAGATATTTATCTTTCTTGCTATATACTGTAGGCATGTTGCCTGCTACCATTCATTTTACCTGTATTTTATTCTATGGGTTATTGCCAGGTTTTTATTGATGCATTAATTGCACACTGAAATAAAGAAAAAAAATGAAATCTATGTATGAGACATTATGCAAATAAAATAAAAAATGTGCATGAAAAAATAACCGTAGTCCCTTATTTCAAGTGCATAATATCTAATTATGTTATTTTTTAATAATGATAATTACTTTGAAGATCCATTTATTTACCTTCTCGAATAAAAAGTAAATACACTTATTTTCAGAATGTTTCTTTTAATTTTAGATTGTTTTAGCATTGAAAAAAATTGATTTTCTTCAAGTAACTTTAATTGTTGAGTTATTTTTAAAAGTAATTTAATGTTATTGAGTATGTTTGTAATAACTTTCTTATGGCGCTGGTCATTTTCATGATTGGATGGTTGCTTCTTACTCTTCTACTTTTAAAAAAATTAACTATTAGCATTTTAACTGGAAATAATCTCCATACATCTTGCATATAATTATTAATTTCATAGAACTTTCAGCATGATGCCACCCCGAATAATCTAGTGCTAGCCCATTTTTAAATCTTAGCTCTGCTGTTGCTTTACATTCAGATGTTTAAAATGCTAACATTGCAAAAAATTAAAATCTAAAGAAGTCTATTTTTCTTCAAATAAGGGAATTTTTTCTTGAGTTTAGGAGGTAAATCATACACTTTACCAATGGAACAAGAAAATTTACATTTAAAGTAAGAAAAAAACTATTGCATTGTCTTATTTCAAGTGCATATTATCTAATTATCTCATTTTAAGAGTAAAAATACTCATTCCATTGGGAAAAAATAACTTATTTAGCTGCTGAAAATAAAAGTAAATGCAATTAAAGCTACAGTGTGTAATAATTACAGGGATATACAGTCAGAAATGTAATATATTATACATAACTATGTTATTTATCATCATCTATGAGCTCAGCCTCTTAACCTTAATATTTGTGTTGCCTTAGAATTCGTTATTTATAATTACATAGGAGCGGGTCTCGCAGCCATGGAGGCAGACATCTTTGCGCTACGGCAGCGCAGAGCCAACAAACTAGTGATTGCGAGATCGCCCATTACGCTCGAAAGTAACTACGGCAAGTTGAGAGAGATGAACTGAGACGGTACTGAACACACAGACTAATGAAATACTATCTGTAAAATTATCTATGTAAACAAACCTCATCACTTGAGAAGGTAGGTGATGCGGACGTCGTGGAAGACATTTTGTCCCGTAACATTCGCCGTACTGTTGGGGGGGAGAAGCAGTGGGGGGGAGATGTTCATGTTGCTGCGGTCTGCAGTCTGACCGCTAGATGTCGCTGAAAATTACACACTGTAGCTTTAAATAAAGAAATCTTTACTTATTTCTAGATTGCTTTTTGCAGTGTAGAATATCTGGAAAAACTCCATGAACCACTGTCTTGTAAATCCAGTTGATTGGTTATTCACTATGAGCCCTTGGTTCTGTTTGAACAGGTTCAACTGTGGAAAATAAGGTTTGAGTTGAATCTCTGAGCTCTATGGTATGGTTCCATGTATTCATTTAAATTCAAAAAGCCTCATTTTTTGGGTTACATTTGTTTGTAAAATGGAGTTTAAGTGAATTTCTACATCAGAGATGATGTGTTAAAGTCGAACTCATCACATTCCTTTTTATTCATTAGGAGCTCCATATCTTCAGACGCTTTTCCGGAGCACCATCACCCTCCTCCTTTTACTGTTAATCCGCTGTATGGCTGATACATGAAATGAAAATAAAGTGAGCTCTGCTTTTGTCCCTCTGCAGCCACCGTGGTGCTGACTGGCTTGGAGCCCAACACGACGTATGAAGTCCGAGTGGCGGCCGTGAATGGGAAGGGTCAGGGGGAGTTCAGCCACACAGAGACCTTCCAGACCCTACCCATCCGTAAGTCTGGCGCTGTTCGCTCATACCATCAAATCAGGACCCAATCCAGACCTCATGTATGTTTAAGCTATGAGACACCGTCATAATGGCTCCTATCTATCACTTTAATGCTTTTATAACCTTTCAGAGGGTGTTAATGTTGAGTTATTGGCACCTCTCAGCAGTTCACAGACGGTTTTCAGGAAGTTGTATTTTATAAGCTGTGACAGTGAGCAGCGCTAAAACAGCATAATTCAGCAGAAATATGGAAATGTTTTGGTTCTGATTTAATACAAATATTGGATGTGTGACAGAAATGCATACAAATGCATTACATGCCTCCAGAATCTATTCAGAGCATCAGCAACTCTGTGGAATGAGGCCTATTTGCCATATTACACAACCGGGGCATATTTATATTGGAGAGGGCCACAATCTCCCTGAGTTTCAGTGATATGAATTTAGATTATCAGAACCTGGAATGGATTCTGTCAGAATCTTTTTCTCATGTGAATCTGCCGCTTTAATAACCATGTACCGCAGGGATTTCCTGATAAGCGTTTTTTTCATCCTGCAGTCTGGCCCTGCATGGCTGCAGAAACGGATACTGACGTCATACTTCTGCACCTGCTGAGGGCTAAATGCTTGAAAGAAGAGCTAATAAAGGAGGAATGAGTTAAAAAATGTACTGTTTTTATCATCAGGAGAACCGAGTCCACCTGCGGTCCACGGGCAGAGAGGTGTTGGGAAGGCCTACAGGCTGGGGCTGGTCAAGCAGGACGATGGGGGGATGCCCATTGTGGAATATATCGTCAAGTACAAAACAGTGGGTAGAAAACTCAACTTTGTTCCTTTGTTTGGTTTTTATCCTGGTAAAAAATTTGAATTTAACAAATTAACCAGATTACAGCATCTAAATATCAAAGTTGGACTCAGCTTTTTGATGCATGTTAGTTATTCTAATACTCTTTAGCAAATGACCCTCTGTTATACAGCTGTGCTTGAAAATTTACACCCCCTCCCATTAAGAAAATTATAAATTCACAACAGTTATTCAAATAAAAAAGATATAAAAAAAAATACTAAATTATAATTTAGTAAAATGAAACTGATTTAAAATTTTAATGTAGAAAAATATTTAAAAAAAAATAAAACAACCCATACAAATTAAAGTACATTGCTCATGAACAAAAGCCTGGCTAAACATTTCCTGAAAACACCTGATTTAGCGATTGCTTCAAAGTGTTGCTACTTTTGTCAATTGGATTTTTTATTAATTTATTTTTTTATGGCAGCTGATTTTTTTTCTGTCTTTAATGGATGGGTATGTAAACTTTCAAGTACAACTGTATAAACTATTTGTGATTTACTTTATTATTACTGTCTATGATAATTTTCTGATAAATTTTGTTGAATAATTTAGCTTTTTTTTTTTTGTTTATTTAGGCTTGGAGATGCTATTTATTTAGGTTCACTTTAGTATATTTTAAAAGGATTCATATTAAATTAACATTACAACTATCAAGTATGCCAGAGGTGGCCAAAAAGCTTCTTCTTGCCCAGATGTGCGTAAAAAAGGCACCCTTGATATCTGAAAAGCAAAGTAATACATGGCATGAAACATACTTTTGCAGCAAAAAGACTAATAATAATAATACAAATAGACAATTACATGTTAATGGACAGCAGCAAATGTATGCATGCAAATGTATTAAACTCATTAAAAACATCAATAGCATTGGAGAGGACAGTACAATCATTAGTAAGAGACAAAGAAAACTTTTGGAAAATAAGGGACAAAGGTTGAAAACAAATGTAAAAATAAGCTGCAGCAGTACAGAAACTGCACAAAAACACATGTAAGACAAGACAAGATGGCAATGGTGCATGCGTAGTGATGAAAACTTTAATTACAGATGTATATTTATATATAGATTATTGTTTGTTTGTATTCAGAAAATGCTAATATTTATTCAAATTAATTGTTGCCCGTAATATTCAGACATATTTTTCTATATATATAATTTCTAAAATATATTTATATATATTTTTAAATATATATTTTAAATATATAATTATATTTTTTATAGTCAATCCTCCTTGCATTCATTAAACATCAGAATACGCTGGTCTTTTAGAAAAGTAAATTCTGCCTAGTTGCGGTTATCACTATGTGGCTGGGTTTGCTTCTCTTTGTGGCCTAAATGGTTCGTTTTATGCTCCTCAGTTAAAAGGATTTTTAAAATGTCTCAAAAATGAGTTTTACTGAAGTCGTCAAATTGAAAGTGGTTCTAAAGATATAAAATACCTTTTTACGAGGACAAGTTTCTTTTGAAAGTCTTCCATATGGACTCTCCTTTTGGGGGAAGGAGAATAGACTTTTAAAAACGAGTGAATTTCCAGACATTTTTTCCCTTCTTTTTTTTTTTCCTGAATACAAATATTTTTAATAATAATACAATTAAGTTACAGGCACCTTTCTGGACACTCAAGGTCAGCATACTTTGCTTAAATACAAGAAACATAAACATTAATAACAAAATAGATAATAAAACAGATTAAAATTCCAACTGCAAATGAAATCGTAGGGAAAATAAATTTTTAAAACGGTAAGTTTTGAGTGTAAATTTGAAGTGTGGCCGAGCAGTCGTGTTTCTGAGTTCTGGAGGGGCGACAGATTGGTGGATAGAGGAGGAAGATTAGAGAGTACTGGAGGGCGTAGCAAGATGGAGAAGATTAGACAGGTAGGGAAGGGCTTTAAATGCTAAGAGGGAGATTTTAACCTGATTTCAAAATTCAATTTGTAGCCATTAAAGCAGTAGTAAAATGATGTTGCATAGGTGAAAATATGCAGACCGTATGATATTATGACATGGGAATAACAATGGAGCTGTCAATGTTTGAGAAACTAGCTACGTTTACATGAGCAGAACTTCGGTAATCTGATCCAAGCCGTGGTTGATATACAATTCAAAATCTTTGTTTACATGGACACTAAATCGATTACATTCAATCATTTAGGCATGTGTAGAACTGTCTAAATTAAGGAAACTCTTTATGTGTAGAAGATGAAACTGCCTGTTTTTAAGCATACCCGTACTTTTCCACTCATCCTCAACTTTAGCTACTCTTTTTTAACCCAACCCTCACATTTCTTTTTCATTACTGTGTCTGCAGTTTTTTTCCCGATCTGTTATGGGCCTTCATTGCATCATACTTTTGTATTTGGGTGGCCGTTTTAGTTTAGTTAAGGGCTGAGCTGTTCCATGTTGGCAGCATGTTCATCCACACATTACATTTAGAGCCACCTCCTCCATCAAGGATCAGGAGCCATTGGATAAAGGTCAGTTAAGAGAAAAACGTCCTGCTGACATTACAAACATGCACAGTGGAGATGAATTTAGTCCAGAGATTCAAGGGGGGGTTTATGTTTTTGCTGCTGTAAACACCAGAATTTCCCCATTGTGGGATAATAAAGTGATTTTCTATTCCATTCTATTCTATTCTATCCCTAATGCAAACTGATAGAGCCAATCCAACTTGGACCAGCCTTTAATACGACCCAATAGACTGGGACTTTTGAATAGTAGTCAAATAAGCACAAATTAACTCATAATAATTTCCATTTAAATGGAAGACAAGGTCAACATTCCTGAAGAGCTCATTAAAATATTTAAACCCGAATTATTATTTTTATTACTGAGCAATGATAAAATAAGGAGCAAATCATCTCCAGAATGGCCAGAAAGTTTTCTCAGTTTTTGTTCAAATAAATAGTTTTACCACCTTCTGGTGCACTTTAAACCTGGTTTCACTTTTTAAAATTATTATTCATGAGCTGCTCTGATTACTGAGCAGTTCTCCTCAGCCGACAGAATAAATGTTTCACATTTATCACTCCAGTTTTGTGACGGCGAGCAAAAAAAACCCCGAAACACAACAGGCGCAGTTTGGAAATCAAGCATTCATTAAATTTACATGAGGGCATTCAGTCTGCAGAAGGCGTGCTCTTACATTTTCAGGAAAATAACTCACACTCGTACTTGTTTCTTTTTTTGTTTACTCTATTTGACATGATCCCTTCACAGCGTGCAAGACTGAGTATTTGGTTGTTTGTTTTTTTTCCAGCGAGCAAAAACGGCTGGAGTAGTTTTCTGCTGATGACCAAGTTGAGTTGTTCCACTTTAGATTGTGTTTCACTTCCAGTTTCAGTAAGAGATGTAACCCGTTCATTTTAATAATTTGATTTTAATTATCATTTAATTAGAAAGACAGGCATGTATAGTGTGGGAAGTATTTGCTAATGAAAAATAGAAAGGTTTTGCATAATTTTAATGGTTAACATCCCTGAAGAGCAAATTGTAGATTCACTTGCAAACATGGGAGCTTGCAAACATGGTGGCCATCTTTGTTTTATAAGTTTATGGAAATAAAAAAAGCAAATCCAATGATCACATGTTCATAAAAATGTAGTTTATAAATACACATTGAGGTGTGTTTTCCTTTTTTTTTTGTTTTTATAAAGCAAATATATTCTATCATTATGTCAATACTGGATGCTTGTCTTTATGTTACTTCTTAAAGAAGGACAGTTTGACAATTAAACAAGTCATAAATATTCAAATGGTTTTTCTTTTTTTGACATCGTCATGTGGTTTCATAATTGGCATATAACAAAAATGTATATAGATTTATTTAGTGTAAAGAAAAAAAAAAAAAGCTTTAACATGTGCAATCTTATTTGGACTACGAACTTTCCACCGCTTATTTCTCAGCAAGTCCTTTGTGGCTTTGGTTGCAGCACCCGGTACTTCTTCAGTTCTCTTATTCACAGATAATTTCACTTCAAGTATATAAGGTTTAAACAGGGCGGATATCCTCCTGTGATAGAAAAATTACCTGGAGCAAAGCATGATGGTGGCAGCATCATTCTATGGGGGAAAATAATTAAATTATAATAATAAAACAATGTTTTGAGTGACTGGATGTCTTGTTTTTCTGCATCTTAGCTCGCTTGAAGCTCTCTTTTACCAAAAAAAAAAAAAAAAGGTGAGCAGAATTTGAGAGAGAGTTCCTGCTGTAGGCAAGAGGTTTAGGATATGTAGTCAGAGCAGGATACTCAAACATTAAATTACAATCTTTGGCCATTATCTAGCATCAGAGAGTAACTGCTTTGGGTATGACTGCAATTCAAAGAGTTCTGTAATTTTATAGTCAGGTGTTGCACAAATCATCCCTTTATTTTGCTCCTCCAGCTCTGGTGGAAAGCGTTGCCAGGTTGGTACATAAACCGCGGGCAGGCAGTTCATTTGGCTCTCCTTTAGTGCCGATTCCTCAGCCTCAGTTTTTTGTTTCCAGTTGAGTGGCAAAGGGAGGGTAAAGAGAGACCAGATTAAAACACAAAGAATGAACAGTTGCTTATCAAAGTAACATGATTTGATTGTTTTGTTTATTCTTTATCCCTCTCCTGTAGGACAAAGAGGAACAGTGGATGACCAAACTGGTTCCAGGAGCAAATGACTTTGCGATGCTGCAGCCGCTGCAGTGGAACACGAGATATGAGGTGGAAATCACAGCCCGCAATGTGAAGGGCCTATCGGAACCCACCTTCTATCAGTTCTTCATGCCACAGAAGCCTGACATTACAGGTAAAAGCACGATAAAGGCAAACATCCTGCTCCAGTTTACCTCTCTTTCAAGCTGCAGCAGAGGTTTTTTCTGAAAGCATTGGAAGTACTTCTAAGCTTCTTGTGTAAAAAGCTGTGTGTATTTTTTTTTTTTATTTCCTGCTAAAACGCGATGGCATCATTGGCACACAAAAGAAAAAATATTCCAAACAACCAATAGTACAGCTCTAAATGCAGCAGATCTTTGCGCTGCTTCTCTCTGAACAAATGAGGCGGCTGTCAACAGACAGTTTTCCTTCCTTCTGTTCTGCTTCAGGTTTCTAAATTATTCTCCTTCAGAAAGCCACTTTATAAGTTTATCTTTTTACTTTTAAAGGGAGCTTCAAAATCCAATTTGGGAAAAAATATGACTGAAATGCTCCAATGAGGCAAAGATGTATTTTCTACTGCCACTGAAATAAACCAAGAACTCAAACAGAAGAATCAAACCAAACAGAATGGCTTCACAGATAACAGAGCAGAAATATTTTCACATCCATCCTTAATATCAGTGGTATTTTAGAGCTGTGTGATCAGATGGTTACTAAACAACATTCAAAAAGGAAAAATGTTTATTACTTATTAATGTTTCTTGGAAATAAACAATACTTTTTTAAAAGCTTTTTTAATTTCCAATCAAATTTTGCCACACGTTTAATTGAAATGAATTGTGGATATATTGATTGATTGACTTTATTGATCTCACAGGGGAGAACTTTAATCAAGAAACTTGTTACATCGGCTCAATAGTCAAAAAGAAGGTGCCAAAAAGAAAAGTTGCATGGGTTTTATACATATATATTGTTGCGGCTCCCCCCCCCTTTACTGGGGAGAGAGGGAAGTAACTTGACAGCCACAAAAAAATTCAGAGAAAAAGTGGCTATCCTGGACAAGCCCCCACTCCCCAGTAAAGGGGAGGGGGGGCGTAACAATATGCGATATAATGCGAGAGGTCCCGGGTTCAAATCCTGGACAAGCCCCCACTTGTTACGCGCCCCCCCCCCTTTACTGGGGAGAGAGGGAAGTAACTTGACAGCCACAAAAAAATTCAGAGACCAAGTGAATGTTAGAAAAGAAAGATTTGGGATTTATTGGTTACAGAAAATCCCAAGCAACTCATACAAATGGTGGGGGAGAAAGGGACGATTAGGTGGTGCCAAATCAAAGAAAATAATATAACAAAAACAGGGCCTACCTACGGTCTAAGCTACATAAAACAAATGAAACAAAAACCCTGCTAAACTAATCTAACAAAAAGATTCACCAAAACTTTACAAGGGTGGCATCCACCTACTCACCTAGTGTGTTTAACAGAAAGTCTCCTACGTGATGAAATGTACAGGGTACCCCAACCTTACCTTGTCCACTAACTCCCACCACAGACCATTAAACACACAGAACAAAACATGCAGCAAGCCAGCCAAGGAAGGGGGTAGGATCTCTAAGTGGATTGCTTATATAGGACCTCCCTGGATCCTGATTGGTCCAAAGGTGGAGAGAATCAATCAAGGGAAGGTAGATCCCAGCTTCTGCTACCTGTGTAGAAGCAAAGGTAAGGGGGGAGGGGAAAGAACAACAAACAGCCTGGCAGGCATGTAACAATATATATATATATATATATATATATATATATATATATATAGATTGAATGATTGCATTCACAGGATTTTGTAGCATCTCTATCATGATTAAATAAGCTGACTGATTAGTTTTTACATAAATCATACCTATATAGAGCCAGGTTGGTTGTAGAGCTTTTTTACTTGATTAATGAATCATTTGATAAGTGCTTTTTGTATTTACTCAACTTGTTTAATGCAGAAAAACAAACCAAAAGCATTGTGTTTTAGTTTCGCTTTGTTTTTCTTTGCCTCTGTGCCTTTTACCACATCCATTTATGGCGATTTGGATCCAGCATCTGTTTGCTTCTGTCATTACTGCTGCGGCTAAATGGCCTACGAGAGTGTGGGGTTGCTTTTCTGCTAGAAAACAAGAGCCGGGGAAATGGCAAGCTTACGGTGGGTCACTTCGATTGGCTGTCCTCTCTTGTTAGCGAACAGCAGGGAATCAAAAGAGAGAGCCTGGGAAAGTGCAGAGGAAATAGAAAAAGAGGGGAAATGCTCTTTCTGTAGGAGTTAGATTTCCAACATAGTGTGCTCAATGGAAAAGGTGTAGGATTTGCACCCACACATTTCGGATTGAATCAGGAAAAACTTCACTGACCCAGTTCAGCTAGTGCTTTACCATCCTATGTTAAAGTGTAACACAGTTGCCTTCTGATTTAATCAAGGCACCAATCTTAATGCTTCCAGCGAAATCAGTTTATTTTTTTTTATAGAAAAATGCTCTGGCCCTCTCATTTTCCTGCTACTTTAAATCAAGTTAGATTGTGAAGAACTCTCTGCAGAATCAATCAGCAATATTAGATGTGAAATATCCGCCACTTTCATTCGAGGTCCAATCTACTGCCTTGTTTTCTTTTTCCTTCCTCCATACTGTATAAAGACCTCAACTGCAGACCTAATGAAAGAAACCAAGTCCACATATATGTGCCCTCTATCTCTCTCTAAGCAATCTTCTCTTTCCAGTTCTTCGCCTATGTATTATGCATTTGCTGTGTATTGAATTTGTTCTTTTTTTTCCCCCATCCGTCTCTCCGCAAGTTTAGTTTATAAGCGGTTGCTTAACTTTATTCTGCCTCTGCTTGTAGCCAAAAAAGCAATAATTCCAACGCGACCCCTGCCTTTTCAAAATACTCTATATAGACTGGCCATAGGTGAAGGTCGGAACTGAAGTAACAGGTAAGTTAGGAGCTTTGGTTTTTGGTTTTGCTCCATCTTAAACAAAACAGATAGAAGTAACGCCCCCGCTGCTGCAGAGAAATCCTTAAACTCACAGTCACTTTCCCCTTTCATCCTTTTTGAACGAGACACCAAGTTGAATCCAGCTACAGGTAGGGAATGACCCCTTAAGTGAGAGCAAAACTAAATATTTAAAAATTTTATAGGTTATGAATATGATGCCACAATATTAGAATAAATAATTGAAAGTTAAAACAGTCAGAAATGCATTTTTAATTCCCTTATAGAGTAGTAGCCATTTAAAATTTCCACCGCTTACCTTGATGGGCCCTTGACTGGTCCCCTACAATTCCCTTTTAAACATCAATCTTTGTACTAAAATATTCTTCTATCAGTCATTATTTGTGGACATTAAGATCTAAAGAGAAGCAGCACATCCTTGTCAGACACCAGAGATGGGAAGTAACGAAGTACAAATACTTCATTACTGTACTCAAGTAGATTTTTCTGATATTTTTACTTTACTTTACTACTTATTTTTATGGCGACTTTTTACTTCTACTCCTTACATTTTTACA